CAATTTTAATAGTTTCGGATAGTCACGGTAGATGTCTACCACCAACTACCATCACATCTCACTATTGTATTAAAACATTCAATTTCGGGTCTTCAATGGATTAACGAATATGATCAGAATTTATGTCTTTTTTCTTTGATCCAAAAAGATCCACTTTCTTCTTTGATACATTCAACGTCTCACATCCTATTTCTTGTTGGGACAGATTCTGTTAGAGTTTTTCCTGCAACAGAAATTATAAATCAAATTGATCAAATATTAACTTTAATTTATTCTCAATATTCTCATTTGAGAAATAGAAAAATTATCATTACAACATGTCTTCCTTGTCTTAAAACATCGAAACGATTTTTTTCTACTCCTCTGTTACAACATAATATTGATAATTATAATGAACTATTATTAACTTTATCAATAAAATATAGTTTTCTTTACTTTGATTTACATATACCAACTGATTGGTTAGGTTATGATATGATGCATATTCACTATAAATATTGTAACCATTTTTCTGATATTATTTTAAATTATATTAATCATTTGGATGTAAATCAAAACTTATCTACTAATGTTAAAAGTCGTTCTCGTATAGCTATTTCACGACGAAACAAAAAAAGAAGTTTAAAATTAAAAAATATTCAACAAAAATTTACTTTAGATCGTGAAATTTCTTCTGTATGGTCATATACATATTTAAAAAATGTCCTGAAGTTGAATAGTATACGATATGCCAGTTTATCTATTACATCAAATCATATATTACATATACGATTCAACAATTTAACAAATTTATTATATGCTGACAATGCCCTACCTATCAACATATTTAGCTCAACAACCTTCATACAATAGTTTCAACAAATTAACTGAATGTTGTTGATATTGTTTTTTTTTCGTTTATACTTGTTTCTTTTCGTTTATTCTCTTTCTCGTAGAGAAGAGTCTTGCAAACATAAATTGTCTGATTGATTGCTTGCTTGTGTGTCCGCACTTCATTGATTGGTCGAATAACGATCTCGACACAAAAAGGGTTCTTTCAAATAAAACTCAACCAAAGGTAATCGAGGTCGAGGAACTCGAATCTGAGATCAGTTTTTTGAAATTTTTTTGTAAATCATTTTTTTACACAAAGGATCACTTTTTTACGAAAAAATTTTTTTTTATAAGGGTTGATCGAAGGGTAATCGGGGTCGGGGAATTCGAATTTGAGGTTAGTTTTTTGAAACTTTTTTGTAAATCATTTTTTTACACAAAGGATCACTTTTTTACACAAAGGATCACTTTTTTACGAAAAAAAAATCTTATTTATAAGGGCTGACCGAGGGATAATCGAGGTCGAGGAATCCGAATCTGAGGTTAGTTTTTTGAAATTTTTTTGCCAATAATTTTTTTTTACACAAAGGGCCAGCTTTTTACCAAAGGATATTTTCCGTATAAAATGTGATCAAAAGTAATCGAAGGTGGGGGATCCAATCGGAGATCACTTTTCATTAAATAAATATTAAGTACCTATATACCAATTACCTATTTTAATACTATTGGTAAAACTTGATGAAATTTAATTAAAACAGTGTAATTCTGTTCCAAGGTTCATTAGAATCATTCAATCACTTGGGGTGCTTGGGTATGTATGAGCTAAGGATGAATAACACACGTATCCTAAACAATTTTCTGACTGTACAAAAATAGTTCGTCCACAGAAAACAGGTACGGGGGCCCGCCCATGAGTGTTACTTTTCTTAAACGAAAACTAAAATGAATACCATCTTCCTGACAACAAGATGGAGCTTCTTCCGGGTCTCCTACCTTTCGTACCAAACATGCCTGTGCTTCTCACTGATAACATCGCCTGTGAACTAGGGCTCTCGAACGGCACTCAAGGAATTTTTCGAAAGCTCATATACGATGATCACGAGGAGCCGGATAGTTTGAAGGTAAGGAGCGAAGTATTTCCTTCAAATACGATCTACATAAGAAAACCGTTATACACGCTCGTGGAAATCAACACATCACAAGTAGAAACAAGTCTCGATGGTCTTCGTCCTAAACTAATCTCTATTCCACTAATCAAAAAGCAATTTACTATTCCCATCAAGCAACTTTTCGGTCGACTTTTCGAACGTATGCAAGGTGGAAAGAAAGTTCCACAAGTGATTCAAGTTACAAGAATGCAACTGCCAATTGTATCTGCTTTCGCAATAACTACTTATAAGGCGCAAGGACTCACAATGAACAAAATTGTGGTTGATCTACAAGTTCCACTTGGGACATTGCAAGTGGCATCAATATATGTACCACTCAGTAGAGTGAAAAGAGCGGAAGATATAGCCATTCTTCGACCTTTCGACATGAAGGTTCTACAAGTTCGGCCTTCTCCTGCTCAGGATGCTGAGCTGAAACGTCTAGATGAACTTGACAAAAAGACAAAACGAGAATGTGCTCCTTTCACTTTTTGAACGTGTATAAATAGGTATTTTGCTATGAGTCTAATGTTATAGCAAGTATATAAGACGTATCATAATTTGAAATTGTCGAAAAATAATTATTCATCAATGTTCATTTTCTTTATTTACATTTATGTTAATCATTGTAGTTGTTACTTTGCTTTCGTTGTATCAGATATTTCCTATGGTGTCATTTCTTGGTTTCTTTTCTTATTGTCTTTTTTGTTTGATGTAATTATATGAATCTTCCCATCTGTATTGATACTTATTTGAAATATCTAATCCTCTATCCAACATTTCGTATAAATACCTGCTGTTGTTCATGTAAAAGTATCTAATTTAGATTAGAAATAAACTTATATACGCAATAATGTATTAAAAAACTAACACCTAAAAACAGTCCTTCTACGAGAAAGAGCTGAGCGAGTCTGCAGACGAGCGTTACTTGTCTAAGTTAAAGTTTGTTCTTTTTTTCTTTATGCCTCACCTTTCCCTCTGTGAATCATACTTCTATTTTCAATCAACCGAAATACCGAAATAGGGTAGATTCAAAATATGATTGGTAATCTTCGGGGAGAGGGAGGTGTTAGCATCAGTAGATGGCGTTAACTGACGCTAAACTACTTAATGTATATGTATATTCTGTTGATTTTGTTTTGTTCTATTACGTCATTTGTCGGATAACCGACTCACATGATTGATTTTCCTATTATACGTATATATTGTTTTTCTGTTGTTAAAAAGAAAGTTTTTCTCAACATCGTCATTTTTCCTATTGTTGTTTTTTTTCTCCGAGAATATACTTCATTATTATATCATCAACATCTTTTTCACATATACATCAATAGCTACATAACAATCAATGTATGTAAGCTAACGATTTATATATATGTTATAGTGATAAGCTCTATCATATAGTCCCCATACGAATTGTAGAGCTAACACTCATAACAATGAAACTTTACATAATGAATGAAAATAACAGAATAGTGAAGCTATAAAGTGCCGAGAAATGTTGTATACTTGATACCCAGTGAAAAATTTTAGATTATAGAAGATTATAATCAGATTTTTGTGCAACAAAATCAAAATTATAATAAATCAAAATCTTCCAAAATCAAATTATCGTTGATTTTGGAAGATTTCAATCGATTATAATTTCGATTTTATTGCACGAAAATCTGATTATAATCTGTCATAATCCAGTATAATCTGACATTTTTTCACTGACTAGACTGTTGCACATGGTTGTATTCTGCAGTCTGTTAATATTTTGAAATATAAGAAAGCAAATAGAGATGAGAAGCAGTATGTATGCGAGTTATGATAACGATAAGAGCAGAAAAGGAGAATTCAGCGCCTATATATACTCTCATGTTCTGTTTTCATTCGCTTTCATCACACAAAACCAGAAGGTTTGTTGTTTTGTTCCGCTTCCTCAACTTAAATATACCCCATGCGAGCTCGAAACGTCATCGACACATGTTGGCGCAAAGACTGCTCAAGTCGTATTAGGAAAGTACTTTAATCGCTTCCAAGCTTTTGACTTCATCTTTTGGTTCTACATAGATTTTAGTAGGACTAAGAAAATATTCATAACAGTGTTGGAGTTGATTCGACCGATTTATCGATTACCGATTCGATCCAGCTGAACTCTTGAAATCGATCGATTTTTTATCAGTTTTTAGTGCACTGCAGCTAGTTTGTTTTCCTTGTTATTGTTGGTTTCTATGTTTTTACGATCCTCAAATATGAATTTCAAAATCTTCAATTAACAAAATTTCTAGTCGTCATTAAAATCGAACCTCTTAATGTTTGACTAGAGGTCAGAAGACATAGAACCACTATGCAATTCTCAACATGAGATACTATTACAAAAGAATGTTTTCATTATGACTTAATTCAATAGCGTTGGAATCTTCGTTGAAGTAATTTTATAAAATATAAAAATATATATTTATTTCTTAGAGAGATTATAAGTACAAATTAGATGTGTCTAAATGAGTTTTTGTTTCAAATGATGGTGTTTAAACACAACTATTGTTTGAATATATTTAAAACACACTGAAATCCATTTATTATAATATTTACAGAACGTCCTTCGGTGCCCTTGATTTTCAGTTACGTGTTATTAAACGGAATTCGTCATTCCTCCTTATGTTTCTAAGATGTTTTTAGACACATTTGCTGCCCTTAGTGCTGTATATGCACTGAAAAATAATATTTAAATTCTCTGATGAGTTGTTTGGAAAATGCAACTAAAACCCATTGTATTCGTGATTTCAAAGACTTCCCTACATTCTGCAGGACCTATGACCAAACTTCATCCGATACGCCTTATTCAACAACTTAAAATTGTACCCAATTGAAGTAAATAAGGCATCTGATGGTAAAAATGAAAAAAAAATCGTAACAGACCTGCAATTTTTTTTTCGTCAATGAAACATTTTAAATATTTTTCACAGATACTTCAAATTACTATCACACTTCGACATCCAAAAATGCTGCACTTAGAATGTCTATATTTCATCTTCTATTTTGTAGTATTTGAAAAAAATGGGTCAACAGTTGTTCAAAGTTCATTTCGATATAGTTGATAATACAGTAGATAATTCGGAAATAATTTCATCGGATCCTATTAAAGATGATATTAGATTTTTTTTTCCTTTAAAATTTTCTTCTGATTCAATAAACAATCAAACTGAACTGAACAATGATCAACAGATTTCAAAGTCTCAAATAGAATACATAAAACAAATTCAAAATTCTCTATTTCGACTGACAAAGTCAGTTCATTGGGGAAAAATCAATACTGAAATAAATGAGATACTTATGAACAATATTTTTACATCAATTATTGAACAGAATAAAAAAATAATGAAAGAAATTGAAAATCATTTGGTATACAAACAACATCTTCAAACATCTTTAATAAACAAACTTAAAGAAGAAAATGATGCCAATCTATCAATTTTTGAACAACCATTTATTGATGCTTCTTCTGAGAACAACGACAATAGTGATAATCAAGAGGAAAAAACTAAATACCAACCGGAACAATTATCATATTTTGCTATTGAATCATTAACATCGATCTTATTAATTTTAATTCAATCAGTTGAAAAAAATGATCCGATAATTATACATAAAATACTAACATTAATAAGTCGATTATGTGAACAACTTCCAATGAAATGTTTATCTACTACAAATAATTTCTTATTCAAATCATTAGAACCATTAATATATTACATCCATGAATTATCTTTAACAACAGATCCAATTATTACAAAACAAGCAATAAAAATTCAACTTAATTTTTCTATTGCAAAAGGATCTTTTAAAGATATTTTATCTTTATTAAAGAAACTAATATTCAATACAACTGATATTTATAATGTACAAACTTTATTCCTACAATTGAATAAGGGTTTAACTGAGACTATCAATAAATGGGAAAAACAAAAAAAACAATTAACTAATGAAGAAAAAATTGATTCCAATTCAGAGCAAGATGATAATACAATATCTAAAGAATTAACAGGTAAAAATCAACGATGGTACCGGGCGGGTAAAAACCAGAGATTCATCGGTTACCATTTAAAAATATTTTCATTTCGTTCTCTCTTTTTGTCAAAAAATGTTTTATGAGTTTTGCTATCAAGTCTCAGCGCTAGAACCGGCAACGATCTGGTCGGACCAGCACCAGATCGGTTGAAAAAAAGTCAAGCGGACTGTTAGTAGCCTGAATTTTGAAAAATCTTCTGTATTGAATCAAAAACTAAGATGTTGCATATTGTTTTGGTAGAATTCGTAAAAAGTACTCAAAACATATGTTATTTTAATTATTTGTTCTAAAGTTGCCTTTAAAAATATTGATTATGTTGAGTGTCTCGTACATATGCTCCTCGGCTATCTCGGGCCATCTTTTTTATTTTTTTTATAAAAATCGTTTTTCAAAAAAAGTTGCCATTTTTTCGCCGGAATTTCAACCGGTTCTAGTCCTGGTAAAAAAAACCGATGTGTAGTTTTTTCAAGGGGGAAAAAGCAGATTTCAACACCTAAAATCTTTGGAAATCTCTAGAAATCTTTGGAAATCTTTGGAAATCTTTAGACATCTTTGGAAATCTTAGGAAATCTTTAGAAATCTTTAAGAATTCTTTGGAACCCTAAAATGGGGCATGTTCCAACAACAATACAGCGGTGAATTGTCAGGATTGAATGAAATTCATATTGACTGGCTTTCCTATTATTGTACTGGTACCGTTACATCCCTAATATTTTCGTTAAAGAAAGGGTCTTTTCAGCAAAGAAGGATTGATTTTTTTATAAAGATTTATCAAAGGTTTTCGGATGCGCGTAGTTCGAATATGCTGTTAGCTTTTAGAAAGTTTGAACTTGATTGCTTGGTCAAGTAAACTAATTTCGTCTACGAATGGTCAAACTTATTATAAAGCGTAACTTTTTCAAAAATCTCTTTCTTTAATCGAGACTTCAAGTACACAACTCTAAGAAACTAATTGTAGATCCAGATTTCTCAATCTCCATTACTTATAATCAAACTTTATAAGAAGTCGTTATTTTCATGAAAAACCCCTTCTATTGCAAAAGAAAATCAAGGACCTAATAAGAACTATATCGTTAATATAAATGCGCATGAATGCTATTATGGGTTGACAGTAATTGGTATTGAGAGATGCATACTTAAAATCTGTGTAAACCGCTTGTAAAATATTTAACGCCATTGAATATCTTTTAAATAGTATATTCCCGTTACTTAGAGGAGCGCCGTAAGGAAAAACCAAATAAGTTCGCTTTTATTTATGTATGTATATTGTTCTGCTGTCACATGTTTGCTCATATATTCGAAATACCAGATTAACTATATAACATGGCTATGTATGCTTTGAGCTATAGTATTGACCAACCATGTTCATTTTCAGTTTTTCCTCCAGCAAGTTCCGTTATTTCTACAGTAGATTCGATCATATATTATGTTCCATAGTAGCTATTTATCCAGTCAGTCTTCAAGCCTTCGAATTCTCTATGATTCCGACGTTTTTCGACACTCAACTACCAACCAAGCCTTCTCTTTGACCTCAATTTTGCTCTGTAAGCTGTTTTCTATATCTAAATTTTGTCTTACGAGTTTTCTTAGACGGAATTTTTAACTAATCACATTTTTTTTCTAAAGGACAACTTTGACCCAATCCAAGTTTTCATATTTCGAATAGAGTCAAGTAACAAAGTTTATTTGCGTTTTGTTCGTGTTCGCTCTTTGCTTTATTGACTTTGATCAATCAATCGCTTGCCTAACTTGATATTTTATAAGCGTTGATGCAGTGTATTATATTTCTAATAAGTTCCATTATAGCATAAGTATTTTCAATTTTCAGTCGAAAATCCGAATGCTATGTTGTTTGTTGAAATTTTTTTGTAGAAAAGCATTTCGACGAAGGAACATTTCGTCAAAAGTGAATTATTTTCTTCTTATTTATCTCACCGTCAGGAGACAAGTTCAAAAATATCTCCTAATTAACTTTGTCCCTTTGGCGACAGTGGAAGAATTTCAGGGCACTATTGAATAGAATTACATGCTTTTCGTCGAAAAGCACTTCAAAGCAAGGTTTGCAGCCCTCCGAGACAATTCTGGATCCTTCAATTCTTCTACAGAACTGTTCAAACTTAAGAGGACAATGAATTTTCTCTCACACTCACGTTTGTAGTACCTTTGCCCTCATCCTTGCGTTCACCCTTACATTCGCAGTGCCTTGCATGACTCTTGTCCTCACAGTTGTACTTAGTCTTACTCACCCTTGCCTTCAACCTTACATTTGGAGTACTCTTCATAGCCAAGAAAATACTTTCGACGAAAAACAGATATCTATCTGAGTTTATTGATAAAGCGCTTTGTCGGCGAAGTGTCGTGTCGACGAAAATTTTTCGACAATAATTTTTCGACCAACAACATGATCACCGAAAACCCTGTTAGTTATAAACTACAAATATTACAGAGAGAATCGCAATGTTACTTAAACAGATTGCACAAACCAGATGGTAATTTGTTCAGGAAGTAGATTTTATCAAGGAAGCAACCAGTCATGAATGTCAACTCTAAGAGATGCTTACGAACGAGTGACCATTGATATTAATGGCTAAGTGAATATTTGCTTTAGATAATAGCTGTAAAATATCTAGCATGCTTGTTGAGAATGCTCGACTAATATTCGGTAAACGCTGAATTGAAATACATGGCAGATTTATCAGAAAGACTGTAAAAGTTAAGATAGAAATGATTCTGCATAACAAAATATTTTCTTTGAAATTTTTCATCGAGAATTCTTTTGCTAGAAATTGAATGGTTCATTCGAATCAGCTCAATCTAAATCGACTGATTTGTAGACTATAAATGATCTTTTGGGAAAGTAAACTTAGGCAGGTGAGCAACTAGCTGTGAGTGATGTTTCAAAATGCTGTCGAATAGCTGATCATGAATATGAAAGTTCCAACGAAGAAACGCTTCACAAGATTCGGTTCTGTAAAAAAGATTGTCTACAGATTGCGTACGATCTGGAAAACTTTAACAGCTTATTTTTCCTCACGAACTCTGTGAAACAATTTTAAAAACGCCTTTGACACAAACTATCACCTCCAGTGGAGACGTTTGTGTTGTCAGTTAAGGAGATGAGACATATTGGAGCCAAAATGAAGCTCTCACTGCCAAACTTATAAATTTGAAATATAAGCTGCTGTTGGTATGCACCAACCACGATATTATAGTTTTAAGGTGTTAACAGTGTATATAGCATGGCGAAAATTCAAAGTTTCGGGAGATTATTTCATTGTCTTCTGGATGGTTGGATATAGATAGTCGAGATACATTAGAAATATACATATGTTCCATATTTAAAAAAGATTGTAAAAGATCTTGATAAAGAATCCACGTTTGCATAACTGCCAAATATAAGAAAAACAGATCCAAAATTCTCACAATGGCATATTTTTTAAAATCTTTTTCACATATATGAAATTAATCTTTTTCTGATGCAACTCGAAAAGTGTCATTCAATCATCAAGAAAATAGAATAAAAGGTTCTGCTGAAATTTTAAGTTTTGGCTATCCTGCAAACACTATGAACACCTGAAAACTTCAATATCTTGATTGGTGCATACCAAAAACAGTCTATATTTTAAATATGTTAATTTGACGGTGAGAGCTTTGAATTTGATCCGAATATGTTTAACATCCTACTTGCCACTATAAACACGTCCATTGTTGATGAAGTTTTATTAAAGTAATGTCCATGTAAATAAAGAAAGATCTGTATCTTATGACTCAAAACACAGAATATGATTAATAGGTGGATCCATTGGATTTGTACCACTTTCGGGGAAATTTTTTTTTCTAATTTCAATAGGCTAGATAAAGGTAACGTCGTCGAAAACGGTCTGAGATAACAATTAAAATCTTTTTACTTGTGAAAAATATGGAGATCTAAGTCATTTCTTAAGGAACACTCAACATACATAAAGAGTATCCTATAATAAATTGTTAATCATATTTTTTATATTTTTTATTGACATGGAGAGCTGAAATTTTTGTCACATATATATCTAATCAAGATGTTTTATTTCTGAAAGTTTCAGCTCTCTAGCTGAAACTAGCGATGGAATACATGAACAAGACTGAAGTACATAAATTTTCGTATCCGATTTTTATATATTTTTACTATGAAACTATTGCAAAAATCAGTACGAAAATTGATGTATTTCACCACTAGCTTTCGCTAGAGAGCTGAAACTTTCAAAAATATAAGATCTTGATTAGATATATATGTGATAAAAATTTCAGCTCTCTATGTCAATAAAAAGTATGAAAAATACGATTAACAATTTATCATCAGTTATTATGGAATACTCTTTATATGTGTGGAGTGTTCCTAAAAAATGATATGAGTCTCCACACTTTATGTGTCCAAAAAAGTTTTAATTGTTACTTTAGACCGTTTTTGACGATGTTATGTTTAACTAGACTGTGAAAATTGAAAAAAGGACTTTCTTTCAGAACATTGGCACAGAATACCTTTCTACCTGAAAGTGGTAGAAACTCTACGGATTCACCCTAACACGAATAACAAATGATGGATAACTTACATGCAGAAATTACTTCATCTTGATAGTATCGCTTTATATAAAACAGATCTTTGACAAAAGGAAGAGCTAAAAGTCATCTGAGCCTTTTTTCCATTCTTGTAATCTATATGCCGAATTCTTTCTCTGTGGTTGAGGTCTGTATCGAAGCTGCGAAAGTATAGAGAAATAATTCCTTTCTTTGGATGAAAATCGTAAAATGTAAAACAGTACAACACTGTTATCAATAGCCGAACTATTTATCTGTCATTTAGTAAACGATAGTCAAAATAATATTAGTCTAATAGTGAAATGTTGTTTAGACTCCGAAAATTATGGTCTTTAACTTTCGATTCATTATTGGGTACTAAGCCTAATTGGCTATAGTCTTGCCAGATACATGTTTAATATTACTGAAATTCTCTGAAACAACGAGTAAAACAGGCATCAATGGCGGTTCATCCTTTTTTATATGGATTAAAAACTCCTCAAAATCTTTATCTTTCATGAAAAAAAGAGCTGAAAGAAATATTTTTGAAGTAGTAAATCGATAAAATGTCCATCTCCATCAGCATGTATATTTTCTCAACTGAAGCGTAATCTCTCGTGTTAGATAAAAGAAGACCTTACATGAAAATGGGAAGAAAATGAGAGTTACTGTGTGCAGCAAACAGGAAAATTATCAATCAAATACCTATAGCGAGACATAGAGTGACATTCCTTTCTTAAAGTCGAGCAACATCCTTACCTGATTCAGAAAAAAGTCAGCAGGTTTATAGAATAAATTTTGTTTGTATGTAAACTATTTAATGAATTGCGATCTGAAGTGCCGAACCGAGAGCATTACTAGGTCTCTACTGCCTTCGACAACATTAATGCGAATAGGTCATATCTATTAAAGAAAATTATGTTCTGCATTGTTCCGAAGAAATTGAAGAACAAGAATTTCGCGATGTTCCAAATATCGAAAGAAAAAGATCTTATGCAACAATTTTTCACAATTAATGGGTGAGCTATCGAAAAAAATTGCCAGAATAGAGACTATAGGAGCTAGTATCACATACTTGTGAGTTATATTTCAATTATACCAACTAGAACGTCGATCCTACAGCGTTAAATTTCGTAGTCTTCTTATTCTATTTATTACATGCATTCAACGGTCAATATGAGGATAAGAAATGTTGTTTCATTGATTTCTTCGTACTATTAAAAATATGTTGAACGAGAACATGAAGCACTCTAAACTAAATCCGGATCATATAGCAAATTGAGCAGTTAAAATTGCTGAAGCCTAAGGATGTTGACGAACAGCAGATGTGTACTGTTCGTCAAGGTTCATTTTAGTAAATGTCAACAGAAAATAAAAACGTATGGTCTCTTTACTAAATGATCGTTTCGGGCAATGAAATAAATATTTGCTTTTACGTTTACCGCATGCTCTTGAGCGGTAGTTCTCAAAATAGAGTCTAGTTAGTGATAAGAGGCGAAAGTGAAGTAAGGTTTAGTGGACGGTTAAGGCTTCCCCCCCCCCCTCTCCAAAAAGTCGATTTTCGTCAAAAAAATGGATTTTGAGATAAACACATGGGCATGATGCTTGAGTTGTGTACTTTACAAATCCGTAAAGATATTATTGAATCTCTAAGTTTTTTGCGGGATTTTTGTAAAAAAACTTAAGTTAGTTGGAACTATTATTACTTGTATAGACCCAAAAAAAATGACTAGTTGATTTTTTTCATTATATATTCATTTTATTTCAAAACAAACACGATAAAAAGCAGATAAAAGTTCAATATAAATCATCACCACCTGGTTCGTATGCGTCTTCATCGCTCGACCTAATACTATATAAATAACCATCACTTTCGTCATCTTCGCCATTGCTGCTGTTGTCATCATTATCTAGAAAAATCTTGTGTGTTTGTTGTTCATTGACTTTTTGTGTTCTTTTACGACCAAAAAACTTTTGTCTATCGCCTTCTTTCGAAGTATCTAAAGCAATAATACCATGGTTTGTGTAATAACCACATGAATTGAACAGCTGTTGAAATAAATCACGTAATTTTTTATAGCCATCATTGTATAGAATAACGGCCAAACCAACACCTATATCAATCATTAAATCACTAGCATAACGATGTTTCGGTACTAAATGCCATAATATTCCATGAAATGTTTCATTTGGGTTCTGACTCCCTCCTCTAACAACTTTTTTCAAAGCCTCTTTAGAGCATAGTTCATCGAATGCAGGTTTGACAATGTCCATACAAGCTCTAGGAATCGAATGTTGACCATGATCATATGTGTCGCTATCCTGCAAATATTTGCACCATTTCGGATCACAGAATTGATGTTGTGGATCTTGATCTGTTGAATAATAATTATAAAAAATGGCCTGTGCACTATGATACATGTTTGTCAGATTTCCTAAGTTTTCTCGAATAGCTTTTCCTAAGTACATTTTGAATTTTAGGATATGTTGATCTGTTAATCGACCAGCACCACCAATCTTCAAACCATCTTGTAATATCTTGTTCTTGTTCTGGGTTTTGATCTTTTTGATACGATTAGATAATCTTTTAGAGTAATGATTCACATCTTCTATCTTTTGAACTTCAACATTTTCATATGGTGGATCATCAAGCAAAGCTTTGTGCACTTTGGCATTACCATCTCCTATATAGTAATGATATTGAACATTGTATTTTGATATAAACCGTTTAAACATATCTTTGATTAAAGTTCTTTCCATAGAACCAGAAGAACCAGCGTAATTAACTTCACATTGATGACTTCTCATGAAGATTTCATATTTTTCTGTATTTGATTTTCGAATTGATTGTGCACCTATACATTGAGAACATTCCTTTGATGATCTTTCTACATCAATAACCTTTGGTCTTTGTGTTGTTGAACAGATATCAGCAATTCCATGAGCACTTGAATGACCACGAGTTATCCATGATCCGTCACCACTGACAGTTAAATTGGTACTACTAGCTTCTTGTACAGCTTCTTTGACTGCAAGATCCATTGAATTTTGTTGATGAATTTGAATTATATCCAATAGATATGCATCAGTTGCTGTATAATGATCTTCATCAATCGGTGGTGGAATATTTAATGCAACACATAATTTTTCCAAACCACTACGTCCAATACCGGTTAAATGAGCACCCAATTGAGCACGAATATTGATTTCACGACGTTGCGTCATTGTTTGTTGTTTTGATGTTGGTAATTTAACTGCATGTTCACAATAAGAACAAATAAATTCCAATGATTCAGATAGGCCTTCTCGTTTACGACATTGAATGCTTCCAAGCCATTGCTTATGGCAATTTATACAAATTGTATTTTCCATTAAGTTAATCAAATTAGCTTTATCAATTATACTATTAGTATTGATATAATCATCATTTTTACCACTATTATTGTCATTTGGTTCTGTATTATTCAAGGTAGTTGGTGGCAGTGTAGTTGTTCTTCGGAAACTGGACACTAATCTTTTCCGACTTCGCGGACGTGGTTTTGCTTTGCTTTTCGATCCCATTTAAAATCTGTTCTGTAAGGATCGACACGATAAAAATAAACAATCTTTAGTAAGAATAATGACGATGAATTGAAAAGTGAATTGACAACAAAATGGATAGTGGAATATCGTGTATATGTAAAATATATTGAGATCTATTAGTTCTATTTGCAATATGTTTTGAACAAAAAGATATATATAGACGTTATAAACTATAGTAACAATGACAATTGTTTCATTGTGTTTGTCAAAGAATCTATTATCACAACAAAAACCTCTAAAAATGAATATAACCTCATGAGAAAAAAATATTCGTTCATCATCAAAATTTCATAGTATATACATCACAATATACGTTACAATAGCGACCAATAGGTGGCGCCATCTATCGCGGGATACGTCGCGTCAATCATAGTGCAATGCACTGTGATGTGTACCTACCATTGGCATGCAATTCTTGCATTTTTATGTTGGTTGCAGGTAATATTCACAAAAAAAAACTTGTTTATCGTTTTTCTCAAAACCGAGTTTTTTGCAAAATATCAATCTCTGAACAAATTTTTCTTCACTATAGTTTATTCTAGTAAACTGCGGTTTTTTTTATTTGATAGATAGATATATCCTTCTTCAGATGACGAGAAGGAATTTTTTATTTGACTCTTAATCTATGAGCAATCAGGTATTTTATGAAAAATCCTACATAGAGTTTTCAGAACTTCAAAGTTTTGTAGATCCCACCAAAGAAAAAAAATCAAAATTAAAAAAACCCTTTCCCTCATCTGAAGCACCAAGGAGTTCTCTTTCAAATGAGACCAGCCCGAGCGCTCCATCTCAAAGTGTATTGAAAAAATCCTTGTACGCGTGGGACCCCCATTTTGCCCCTTGGTACCTGTATATCTCCCAAACGGAAAGGGCTAGAGCCATGAAAATTTTTTACACTTGTACCTTTATGGCTCGAGCATTTGTAGAAAGTTTCATGAAGATTCCATGCACCATGTTGAAAATCGATTTTGGAGGGGGGGGGGGGGAGCCTTAAGCGAATCATGATAGCTGGCGCCATTTGCATCGAATGTTGATATAAAGTTTCAAATTAAGTATAAAGTTTAACATCTTCCCACCGAGTACTTTATTCAGTTAAAACTAAGTGAAGAAGCGGTAGGCTTGAAGCGAATACCATTTAATTTCATTTTTTTATCCAAAAAAAGTTATTTTGAGAAAACAACGGTTTTTTCTATAAAGTTTAAGGAGACGCAAGTATGGTCGAACAATTTCAGTCTGTAATAGATTTTGTGACATTTATATCTTTGATTTCTCAGTAGGCGTACAGTATTTCAGAGAAACAATGTTCTATCAAAGAGAAACCAAGGCGACGAACAGTTAAAAGCTAATTAAGGATTCGGATTTCTCGATTCTGACTATCTTTTTTGAAAATTTATAAAACCGTCATTATTATTATAGAAAGTGTTTCCTGAATGAAAAGTATCGAGCTCGAAATTTCTAGAAGCCGATTACAGATTTGGCTTCGTCGCATTCGTTTGTCTTCATTGAAACGTTAAAGACTATACCAATACATGCATCTACCTGACTAGATGATTAGATGAAAACTTGAATCAACAGCCACAAACTCATTCTATCTTATACGATCCTATCTGCAGTGGAGGGATTAAGTCACATAGGAACGCATATAAAATGAGACTGAACATGTTCTCAAGCAGAGATCTATTAGTGCATGAAGATTTTTTTTAATTGGAGTCTTTAGAAACCTTTAGAAATCTCTAGAAATCTTTAAAAATCTTTGAAAATCTTTAGAAATCTCTAGAAATCTCTAGAAATCTCTAGAAATCTCTAGAAACCTTTGGAAATCTTGAAATCTGCTTTTTCCCCCTTGGGGCTCCCTCTACGAAGGTTTATAGCTTCTCTGGCTGAAGGAAATTACTTGGGACTTATGTATTAACTGGAGTATAAATATGGTTTATTCAAAATAGCAAGCATTTATAACAGAGAGAAGTTCAGATTTTCAAGAGAAATTTGTGAAAAAATAGTGTATCACATAGTTTCCGTGCATTTAGAAAAATTTTCGATTCGCGAATTAGATCATTCCTGTAACGTTTCGATTTGCTGACTCCTTTTCTTCATTTCAGTTTTGAATATGAAATAGGTCTTCATTAATTATTGAGTGGCTTCGGCAATGAAAGATAATAAATGACATAGTTTTGTGCCTACTACTCCCAAATCGCGAGGGGAAAGGGACATTTTTTACCAAACTTTCATTACCATCTCTAGTAGCATATGTTCGTTGCGATCTCCAGGTATAAGAAATAAAATAAGGTGTTCGAAATCGAATGTACGGGAGTTCAGAATGATAAAGATCAATTAGAAACAAAAAAGAACAGAGTGTTCGTAATGAAAGTTGTTCGGAAGATCGTAAGGAACAAAGAATATTGATTTTTAGAGAAAAAAATTGTGAAATTGACTGGAATTTGGAATGAGAATGATGGAAGAATGATAAGAATAAAAACAGTTTGTTCGAAAACATGTTTCTTTTTGCTATTTTTTAAGGGTATGTTAAATAATTTACTAGTTTTTTATTCTAAGACAGTACACAAACTGCGGATAAGGATGTGAAGTGAGAGTCTGCGTAAGGGTCAGTAAATAGAAGGCATCGCCCTGATACCCTCACTCGTCTAACCAATAGTTTTGAATGTAGAAACTCTTTTAATTATACAGTATTTCATTTCCCAGAGATTAGTGCTCTCTGTTATCAATATTATGAATAGAATAAAGCAAAAAAGTCACAAACATGATATATAGTTATTACAGTGTTACGAGTAGAGGCAGAGAAATGTAGATATTGCTTATATAATTACGAAGGTGTCAGATCAATCATTCTCGATGTTATAAAACAAAAAAAGAAATAAAAGTCTTTATGACAGTTAAGAAGATCATCATAAATCAGTTACGTTCTCCTGATAAATTTGATCACGAGCGTCTAGTGTTTTTCGTTCCGATTTTAGGACATTACTCCACATGTAATAATGCTCATTCCATTCTAAATTTTCGGTAATATCATTCCGATCTCCCTGTATTTTCGACTGCGATCTCCTGTACAAAAAGGATTACGAACTCTCATCGAATATTTGTTAAGGCAAAAAGTCATTTTCGAACATCCGAATGCATGTTTGAAGTTCGGAATGACTTGATGCGAAATGTCCGTCATCCATCGCGAGTTCCTATTTTGATGAATTGTACAGTTCCGAGCTAATCATGTTGATTCTGTTTCGAGAAGCTATCGTTTTCAGCGTTATACTCTTCTGAAATAAATCTTCATTATTTACTTCTTCTACAATTATTTTCTTGTCAAAAAATGTGAATTTTACTAAGAGAAAAAGGTTTTGCTGCGCGGTATTCCTTTAAAAAAATCATCGAGAAGAAGAGCAGCGAAAAATAAGTTAACACCGGCGTCGCAAAATTTTTACTGTCTTTTGTGTCTAGAATTTCGGTGCATCCGTGGGGGCTGAGCCCTCTCTAACTTTTTTTTCTGGCTACGTCACTACGCAAAGTGTCTGATAGAAAAAAAACATCTTAGAACATAGCTCTTGATCCGATACCCTTCGAAAAAGTACGGGTATTTCATCTGGCAGTAAATTACCGAACTCAGATTCCTTTATGCCATAAACTTCAACCAAACTGTGAACGAAGTATCGATGACCCTTTAGCATTTCCTCATTTTAAAATGACAGCCACTTAGGGCGTTCCTGTAGTCTGATCCACTACTCTTAATAGCCAGCAACTTCTACCGCATCCTTCCTTACTATCATGCTTCGCGTTCCCACCCATCCGATCACTTTCGGAGATCGCACTAACATATTCGGCCAAGTAATCGCGTAACAACCAGAAGACCGCCGACACCGATGGTTCCCTTCGAACAAATATCCCATCATCAACAACATACTGACACTTGCAATAATATCGTACACAATGCACCGATAACTACAGGGCCATACACCTAAAAGAGGACTCTTGCCGAAACACTTCGCTATTTAAGCATACTTCCGCATAGCGATCTTTCAGAATTGAAGGGTACATCCTAGAGTGGCACATCAATACCCAAGAGTACGCCGCTATAGCAGCATTTAAGAATCATAGGGCATCTCCATCTCGTATGACCTGAGAACCCAAAGGTACCCCTTAATAGTAGGACTTGAGATTCCAATGGTATCCCCAATCGTAGGATTTTAAGATCCAAAGATATCCCCAATCGTAGGACTTGAGGATCCTAGGCTACTGGCTTGATGATAGTAGACACTCACTTTAACGTTCGGAGACCGTTACCGTTCTTCGGTAACAATCTGGGACCGATAACTTCACACCCCTAGCTCTAAGACTATGACAAACTATCGTAAAAACATGAGCCAAATCATCGATTTCCAAAGTTCAATTTCCATTCATCCCTGCAATGTGGATAACTGCTGAAGCAATTCTTTGAATGTATGAGGGAGCATGAAATAGATCTTAACCTTGCTTAAGTTTCGTCTTAGAATACAGTATTTTTGGAGATAGTGAACTTTTAGGATTTTTGCAGATTCTTAAAATTTGGATCAATTACTCTACTATTTGATATTGGTTATTATGAAGCACGCACCTCTTTTGCTTTTGCATGACATCCGATTCTTCTTACCAGCTCACTAAAAATGACTGCAGCGAAAGCTGACCCTGAACTCGACCTTAGAGATCGAACCCGACCTTAGAGATCGAACCCGAACCCGAACTCTGAAACCGAACCGGAACCGGAACCCGAACCCGAACCCTGAAACCGAACCCGAACTCGAACCCGAACCCTGACACCGAATTCGAACCGAACCCGGCAAAACCCGAATCCAAACTCGAACTCTCAGAGCGAATCCGAACCCGAACGTTCGGGTTCGGTGCATGCCTACATTCGTGCTTATGAGTCCTCATTCCAGAGATATGCTCCATCTTATGACCAAAAAAAAAGACGTGTTTTTTTTCATTTTTTCGAA